CTCAATTGTTGATTCCCGACAATGTCGATTTTTTTTTTGAGGTGCAAGACTCTCGGCTGAGATTGTTGCTCGCGCCGCAAAAACAATTGGCCACACCACAACCAAGGTTCATTTTTTAAAAAAAACAACCCCTAGTCGTGGCCCTGACCATCGCTTGCGACGGCTACAAGTTTGCCGCGTCATAAGCGTTCCTCCTTGCTTGAACAGCATCTTCACCGGTCTCAAAACTTGAAATAAATCAAGTCTCAAGCGCTGAACATGCTCAAGCAACTACGCAAGTTTCGACCAACTGCGGAGATGACTCTCAACGCAATCGCCCAAGGGACTTGCTAATTGGTGATGAATGTGGGCACTCGCTTTTTACACAAGTGTGAATTCATACAAACCCCAAGCAGATTCATCCGAGGTCCCGAAGAGCCCGCACAAGCTACTACGCTACAAAGAATTGCTTCTTCAAATAGCAAAGCCGCTCACACTGCGCCTCTCCCGTTCCTGCTTTGGACGTTTCCAACTCAGTTCTCTTTGATTCAGATGCTCAAGGCCATCATGTTCCCCAATGTCTTCCTACTAAGGTGAATCCGTTTTGATGCGGTTCCTCCCCTTTCAGCGATAAAGGTCACACGCCAAGCCATCAAAATCCGTCAAGCGAAAGCCGGGAATACAATTCCTTTCTATCGCTTCAGAGTCAGATGCTTTCGCTTCTTTCTCATAGATGCCAGTCAGTGGAGTTTGTCACACGTGGATGTGACGTCACTTGCTGTGCCATTCGTCACGTAACATGTCAATATTATGTGCTCTTACTCATGCGTTTGGAAGAGACTGCTATACTTGTTCTCGTCAATCTGTCTGGACATGGCTGCTGTGGTGTCGTGGTGTACCTTGCATTCAACCTCAGCCAGTACCGCTGCCCTTTGGTTTGCAACCCACTTTGTACTTTGTGCCTTTCTTTTGGCATTGTTGTCGTCGTCGTTGTTTTGATTGTTGTTGCTGGTGCTGGTATCATGAGTTGCCCATTTTGTGACCCTCATTCCTTCGTCTATACGGCCGCAAGTATACGTTTGTCTTGGCTGCCGTTTGTGACCATCTCGTTTTCTCTTCTGCTACCAGCAGCTCTCTTTGTTTGATTGCACTTTGGATCGCCTTTTGCATAGACTATGACATACACGTGTGTGCCAGTGTGTACTGGCGCTGCCGGATGCATGCCACCAAGTCGAGGTGGTTCGGGGTACGACGGCTTCTGGTCAACATTTATCAACACGTCAAAAATCCACCTAACAACTTCATGACTTATGGCTTCACCCCAGTTGCACTTTTGAATGTCAAAACTTATCTGGCCATCGGAACGGCCTGACTTCATTTTCGGCAGTCCGCATCGGTTTACGCCACAACGCCGGCATCAGAAGCACGAACAAATGGCCCACTTCTTACTCTTCATACCTGCTTCATTAGGATCCGCATATACTCCGATACGATGCCGATTCGACGCGATGCCATGTATCAACTCGAAAATCAAGATAAATTACGAGAAATACCGATAAAATTCATGTTTATTCCCCGACATCTTGCTGCTTGTGGCTTGCATCCTATTGCCCCGCACTCTGCCCTCACACGTTGCCATGCATAGCGCACGCCCGGGTGTGCGCTGCTATACGTCTCATGACGCCCATACTAGGCTCCATCCTGTCCTTTCTGCGCTGCCATTTCCGTCCGCTCTTCACGACCCCTCGGACTGCTACCTCTCAGGATGCTTTCTAAGCCGTTCTTCCTTGTACAGCATCCGCTTACCATTTCCGCTTGCTATTTTCTCCACTACGTCCGGTTGCGTTTCACTTCCAAGCATCCCTAACCTTATTCCCCTTGCAAATAAATAATTCATTCATTCACTTCACACACACACACACACACACACACACACACACACACGTTGTACAAGCTAGAACCTGTTGAAGAGCATCCACAAGCTCAAAGTTCGAAGTCAAAGCTCTACTTCACAGATCCACACAGATACACACAGATACAGATGCAAGTTCTATTTCTATCTCCATCACACCAATCATCCCCCGCCCTAACATCACACCTCACACAACATACAACACTCCCTTCACTCTCATACCTCGACTGCCACACCACCCACCATCTTTCTCACTTTCCCTCCACCACCCCCCCTCTCCCCGAGCCTCACCCCAATACCCCTCACCGAAAAACCAACTCACTCACTCTCAAAAAAATATCACAACTCTAGCGCCATTCCTTGCTCACCACTCAAAAACCAACATCCTCCTCTTTCCCACACCTCAACCCCCCCGCTGCCATTTAACAAACCACTGATCCAAAAAAAAAAAAGAGGCCAACAGCACCATGTATTCCCATCTGGTCACCCACGATAGTACTAGCATGGCCCAACATGGCTTAACTGCGGCGATCGGACGAGAGCCGGTGTATTCCATGTGGTATGACCGTTGGCGACAGTTAACAGCATAATTCTCAATATAGCCACGCGACATAACCAATGGGCACCTTGAAGCTCGCAAACAAGATGTTGTCATCAAACAGTTGCAAATCGACAAAATCGACGAGCCAAAGAAGTCGCACTGACAACATTGAGCAAAGCGCAACTTCCTGACAGCGAATACTGACGGCCCAAGAGCCATCTGAACGTGGGAAGAATAGTTTGCACATCTGGTCAGCTCTTACTTATGTGAGTGATCTACTCCCACTCACCTCTCAAGCCAAGGTTGCGGCTGTCGTACCAACCGCTCTTTCCCTCAGGTCTTTAGCAACGTGTTGTACCGAAACGTGCGACTGTGGTGAGTATCGAGGTGGAGTAAAAAAAGCTTGTCTTTTCAATTCTATTTGCCGTTATCTCATCTCTGCACTCGGCAACGGCGAAAGAAGCCAAAAGGGAAGGAGATGTAGAACACTTTGGGCAAGACCAAGGGCGGGGCAGACCACGGGTCTTCAAGTGGCCTGATTCAAGCACAGGCGACGCCCCCACTTGCACAGGATGAACACGAGAGAAACACTGACGCACGTGACAGGAAAACCTGCGTCATCACAATAGCACCCAGCCAGCTATCCACGGAGTAGCACATCCCAGACCAGTCGCAAGTTGTAAAACAGAGAACTCTCCTCCTTGGTAGCGTGACGCGCAGAAACAGCAAGCGAGTCATCCCAGTTGGTGTGTGACTGGTGGCTCGCGGCTCAACATGTTCAAAGTTTACATGCCATCAGGCTCGGTCAAGTTTTGCATCAGGCAAATGTTGTCACCCTTGAGCAGGATGCGACCTATCAAATGAACACGAGGTACGGGTTCAGTTCAGAGATGAAGACAGGTAGAATTTTTGAGTAAAGGTCTAGCATCATGCACAAGCCAGACTGGGGATGGCCCAGTCTAAATCCACCACGGACCAAGCAGATACGCACCGAGGGGCTGCCGTGTCTGAGCCTTGCTGTTGACCTCCTCCGCAGAGTCCATGACAAGGTTCATGTACTCATCAAAGCCAACAATGACACCCTCGATGGACATGTGCTTGTGTTCGTAAAGCCAGATGCTGACCTTGGAGCGCTATCGAATCAAGAAAAGAGAGAATGACACCAAGGGTGAGCGACATCATACTCATCAGCGCCACCATTGCTAGTTGTTGTCAATCACGGCCGGCGGCTTGTCCAGATTGCACACAAAGCGCCAAGCAAATGCCGATAAAAAAACCAGGCCAGCAACCCTCGCTCGCCAACACCCTGTGCTCTGTAAGGACATCAGCGAACGAGGGGGACTCTTCGCTCCCTCTCTACTCGCTCGCTCAAAGCCTCTCTGTGCAGAAAGAGCCGATGCCTGCATCCAAGTATCCAACCATCCATCGGTCGCGCACAAGCGATGAGCCAGAACCAAAACACATGCACACACCTTCTGCAAGAATCGGAACATGAGGTTGATGGGCTGCACCATCACCTTCTTGCCACGACCACGACCACTCATGATGCCGGTTGAGAGAGCAAACACGTCCAGCAACGTCGATATCAATGGTTCAAAAGAAACCCCGCAAGGTTTCCTAATGTCGATCCAGCTCAAGACCGTCAACAGCGCTTGTCCCACGCCAGCTCTGCTGCCGAAAGGACCACTGACTCCACTTGCAACCCTCACTGATTCAGCCAACCAGCCACCGCCAAGTCGCTCAGCTCTGAGAAGCCAGAAAGAAAAAAGAAAAAAAAAAAAAAAAACCAGTCCAAGGCAGTCGAGCGACACTTGCACAATTTCTCAATTGTTTCGCACTGGTTTTATGACCCTCACCTATACATGTCTTGGGTCTCGGTTCCTGTATCAACAAGACCCATATTGTCAGACTTTCCATGCCCGTGCCCCAAAAAATAAAATCAAGCGAACGTTTTTTACTTTGCTGACGGCACAGCTGGTGCGTGTGATGGATATGGAGGGGAATGGAGCTGCAAGCTGGGGGTTGAGACCATCGTGGGATAGCCACCGGCCGCGAGGACTGATGGGTCTTGACTCGGGAAATGAGGGTTGTGTTTTTAAAAAGATGCGACTTTCGCCGCTTCTCTCCGTGTCATCAGCGCGCTTTGAATATGGCTCGTGGGTGTGTGTAGGCGCAGATGGTCCAACACTTTCCCGGGCACGGCAAGAGGTCGACGGCCACCAACTTTGCCGTGCATGCCGGTCATACCACTCCGGGAAAGTCCAGGATGAAGGTGCACCTTCGACCAGCGCTCATCCTGGGCTTGGCCACCCTGGCTGTGCTCTTGCTCACCATCAGCTGGTCAAGTGAGTTGTGACTGTCGAGTGCCGAGTTGTTTTTCGTATGTATGCGTTGATGTATGTTTGTATGTATGTATGCATGCATGTATTTTGGATGAGAAAGAGCATGTGTGCGCTTGTGTTGTCTGCTGCTCAGCTGGCGATGCAGCTGTTCCTGTTTGTATTTCTGTGAAAATCGGCGCTCACTTCCAAGTGGCTGCTTTGCTAGATCGACGAGCTCAGCGCCTGCAGGACTTTGCCTTTGCCAACAGTTGGGATGGTGTTCGGTTCATTGTCTTTGGTGACTTCGGGGCCGGTCAAGTTGGTGGTGAGCCTCGTCACAGGTGCCACTGCATCTATTTGATGGAGCCAAGCTCTGAGCTCTCGATCATCTCTCACACGCAGGCGTCGATAGGCAAGGACCATCACCAAGAAGATGTAGCGCATCTCCTCTCCAGTGTAGCAGCACACTTTCAGCCTCAGTTTATTGCCACCACTGGCGATATCATCTACGATGGTACATCAGCTTGTTATCGAAACATCCCTCCCCACAAGAGCATATACTCACAGCAACATGCACCGCTCACCTGAACTGCCGCCGTGACGCGTTTTCCCTGGGCTGTCTTTTGTGTTCGCGCGCCATCCTTGCGCAGATGGGATTCAGTCCATTGCTGACATGCAGCTCAAGACCAAGCACCGAGATCTTTATTCGGCCAATTCCCTGCAGGTTCCATGGCACATCATCCCTGGTAATCATGGTGCGTGTGCGCGCACAGCTTAAGCTGCCTCGTGGTGCTCGACTGTTTGAGTTACATGCCGCTCTGCTACGATGCGTGAAATCTCTTCCTGATCCTGTTGTCTTGCCTTGTCGCTTCATTATCAATAACAATGTTCCAGATTGCCATGGTTCGCTAGATGCCATGGTCGAGTATGCTCAGCTGCCCGGAAACCACTGGGACATGCCCGCTCGTTACTACGTTAAAACCATCAGTTTTGGAGACAAATCTGCACGTCTCATCTATCTAGGTCAGAGAGGGTGTGTCGATGGGCAGGCTCTATCACTCAGAATCGCCAGCCCGGTGTATGTGTGATGCCCTTGATGGTAGAGTTTCAGCTCATGCACCACATGTTTTGGCACATTGCGGTGTCCATGACCATGCCCCACCGCCCAGATACGTGCTTGCTGGTCTGCGGGCAGATGCGCAATTTCCGTTGCGAAGATTCGATGCGCGCTAGTGTAGGTTGCGCTCATAAAGGACTTTGCGCTGACGCAACCACGGCAATTTATCGCCAAGTCTGGTGTTCACCACCTATACCCCTCTCGGCCATCTGTGACAGGTCAATGCCAGTCTCCGGCAAGATGAGTTGGCTTGGCTTCGCAAGGAGCTGACAGTGCCGGCTCAATGGAAACTGGTTTTTGGGCATTGGGGTATCTTCTCCCACTTTGGCAATGGTGCGTTGTTTGGCAGTTGATCGGAACTGTATGACAGTATCCAAACCCGCTGGCTCTCATGCTTGTCAAGCCGGTGCAACCCTGATTGCTTCTGCCTACCTTGGCGGCCTACCTCTTTATTGTCAGGGCCAACGCAAGAGTTGGTGGATGATCTGTTGCCCCTTCTGCGAGAATTTGACGTCGATGTCTATTTTAACGGGCATGACCACAGCCTGCAGCACATGGTCTTGGCTACTGCCAACACATCAAACTTAGCCGAGGCTCGGCCTCATTTTATCATCTCGGGGGCGGGGGGCTACGAGCTGCAGCCCGAGCTCAAACCTGAAGCCCAGAAGCAGCTCAACGTTGGGTCAAATCTCGTGTATGGCGCAGCAACGCCCGGGTTTGTGCAGGCTGTGTTGACTGCGGAGCGCCTACGCCTTCGATTCGTGGGCATGGGTGATCGCACCCTCCACACGGTTACCCTACAAGCTCGCCATCCCAAGCAGGGCGAGCTTCGGTGAGACGTGGCCCTTGCCGAAGCCCACCGTCGGCTGAGTTACATATCCAAGCAGGCCTGTGAAGGATGTCTTCAGATGTGTGGCCCTCAGCCCGCATTAGCGTAGCAAACAAGATTGAATCAATGCACAACCTTGCCGATTACGACTTGAGTAGAAACAGCTTAGGGAGTTCATCTTCCAAGTGCGTGCCCCATTGCATGTGCATCGCTATTGGTCAAAAAGCCGGTCAGCGACAGGGGCCTCCCCCGCGGACCGATGATTTTTTTAAGAATTGATGACCGAGTCATGCGCCCAATTTGATTGAGAGGGGATGGGGTGAAGAGGGGCTGCAAGATAAAAAGTCGAATTCGATTCTGGAGGCGCGAATGCACAAATGTGAAGAGCCGTTACTGTGTCAACATGCCTCGCGTATGGTTGAGGCCAATTATACATTCACATGTCAGTTGACAAAGGGTAGGCAGGAGAAGAGGGGAGGGGCATGATAACAGAGGCGCCTGGAGCAATGTTTGTGGGGTCGAGAAAGCCTCCGAGACACTTATTTGGCCATTGGGCAAGCACTGGGCGGAGAAGCCGCACCATCAGTGGTGCCTGCAGCCTCTGGTTCACTTGGCGCCTGGGCTCGGTTTGGCATCTGAGCTGACAATGTGGGCACGACGGCGGCGCGGGGCGAGTGTTCGACCAAGCCAAATATCCGGCCAAAAGCCATGCGTGCGCGAGCCACAAACCCAGATGGAGAGTCGAGGGCTAAGGATGACCACCCCACGGCCAACAAGCGAAGGCGTCAGAGATGGGATGGGCGTGGCCATGCGCTTTTGCCATCAAGACCGAACGCTTGGACTTTAGCCGAGAAGGGAGACAAGCATTGGTCAAAGCCATCTTACCTGGGCGAGCATCAATGTAAATACCAACTGGGTCACCGCCACCCCGCGGGCGCACATTATAGAAATCCAAGACATATCGGATCTGCAAGTGGTTGAACGAGGACAGTCGAGCAGCAGGGGGTAAGATTGGCACATGAGCAGCGTGCATCCAGCGGCTTGGAACAAGGGCAAGCACAAAAATACTTGCTTCTTTGGCATTTTCGTCCTGCCCACGACGCACAAACCAGTCGTGGCGATCGAATGGCTTTTCGTCCCTGTTGTGGCAGGTAGCGTCAGCAGCATCAGCACGCAAGGGGCAAGATGTGGAGGCCGTTAGAGAAGAGGGGCAGTGGGACAGCGAGATGATCTAATCATCTTGTTGGTTCAAATGGAGAGAGGTACCGACCCAGCCAGACTTTTGAAACGAGCTTTGGGGGTCAAGTCCTTTGGTCGGCCCATGAAGCGAACAAGCTTGACGTCGTTGATGTCACTACAATTTACCGATTGGGCAAATGAGCAAGGGGGCGAGAAAATCCAACAGCAGCTCGTGTTTGCTTTTGAGTGAGGTCGCAATGCATTGTTTCGCGCAGAGGCAGCCTCTGAAGCAGAGAGGAAGAGTATTATCTTCATAAGGACGCACGCACGCTGTGGAAGGACACTTACTCATTTTCAAGTCGCTCCCACTCGAGCACCTGACGCCAGGCTGTCTCGTTGACAGCGTTATGGATTGAGACGATTGTTGACATGTCACGCTCCTCTGGTGACCAGCCCTTGCGCTTCATGGCGTTGTAGAACATCTGAGGCGATGGATATTCCCAGCGTTCAGCATCTACCAGCGAAGCATGCGGTATGAGGCGGCGGTGCGCGCAACATGGGAGAGATCACAGCTGATGTACGTGTCCACATGTGGTATGGGGTACGCTGAATGCCCCAAGCCCCCACAAACCGGAATGAGCGGAACCAGACCTCACCTTCCACTTGATGGGCTGGATTAAAATCAGCCTTGGGGATGTTGGACGTGATGCGATCCGTGGACAGCGTCTCACGCTGGCCAATGGCCGGAGATTGACGCTCCTGCATGAGCATGTTGTTGCGCGGGTTCAAGTTCTCACCCACTGGAGCGCTGGGCGCAGCCGCCGAGGTAGTGTCTGCATTCTTTGGCGTATGAACCACGGGACAAGCGCCCCCCGAACCAGCCAGCCAAGTTTGGGCAGCCGCTGCTGTTGGGGCGCCCTTATCCGTCGTGGTACCACTTGGTTCAGCCATGGCTAGTCGCCTCCAAACAACCTCCTCCTATCGCCTGCACCCCGGTATACCGCCAGCTATCAATGATCGAGTGCAACGGCGTGCAACGCTCAACACCTGCTGCTCTCCAGCACGTGTCCCTTCAACGAGCGAGAGAGAAAAATGAAAAAACGAGAGAGGGTGTGCGTGGAAATGATTTGTAAGAATGAACAAGTTGTCTGACATTTGTTTTTGTGCTTTTTCATCTTTTTTTTCTCGAGTTTTCCGATCAATTTGCTCGGTCGGTGTTTGAGCGAAGGGCAGGAAGTTTGGATTTGGTTGCGCCGAAGGAGCCATTGCAATGCCACACACGCACATGGGTACAACAGGGGTGCATAGAGAAGGCGCAAGACAGAGCACAGTGATGGGTCAAGGTGGCAACCCGGGTCAATGGAAAAAAACAAAGGGAATTGGATGCGCTCTCAAAGCGGGGTCGCGTTTCCCGTAAACCATAACCTCCCATTTTGGAAAAAAACAGACCAATGATGGTTTTCCCCAAGTAACAAGTCAATCTACCCAGTGAATGTGCACCAGCCCGTCTACCCGAGTGAGCACTGGCTTGGCTCTTCATGATGGTGCATCGTGACGCAGACCGGCCTGCTTCTTGTGAGACTCGTTGACCAGCGACGGCCCCGCCTCCTCAAACACAAGCAAACAGACATGTCAGGGCCATAATTTTTTTCAAAATGCAATTTTGCGTCATAGAGTAGGAGTCAGATTTGCGCTTCAGCGCGCCGTTCCCATTGAAAACAGGAGCGGGACACCCACTGCTCAAAAGGTGTCAGCTGACTCCCTCCTTCAAGAGGAAGAAGGAAAAAAAAAAAAAAAAGTAGAGAACATCGGACACGGCAAGAGAAGAAGAAAAACGGACAACGAGCGGGCTCGTAGAGTGCTTGAAGCCGGCGCACCACGCCATTCACTCCAGCCACAATCAAGCCACCGACAGGACTAGCTACCAGGTTGCAGCTGGTGGCAGAAACAAGGGCAAGAAAGCTTGCAAACAAGGAAAAAAAAAAGAAGCCAAAGCGCTCACAAGCCCTCATGCCCACATCAACCTACCAACCCACAGGTCATCGACCACAACACAAACGACGGGCCGACCAAAAGGTACAAAACATGCGACTCCAGGTGTCCAGGAAAGGAGGCCCGTTTAAACCACCTCACCATGACACAAACAGCGGTGAGTCGCACACCCGGACGAAAGGAAATAAGCTCACGCCTCGGGCTTCTCCTCCTCCTGCTCGTTGATGGCGGCAGCATCGAGCTCGGCCTTTGTGCGGGCATGATCCTCGCGAGCATAAAAGGCATCAAGGGTCTTGGGGCCGATACGCTTGAGCATCTCCTTGGGGAAGGTACGCAGGAGCTCCCAGCCAAGGTCAAGCGAGTCGAAGACGGAGCGGTTCTCGTACAGGCCCTGGTTGATGAAGCGGCCCTCAAACTTGTCCAAAAACTCGAGGTACAGCTTGTCTTCCGAGGACAGAGCCTCCTCACCGACGACGGCCTTCATGGCCTGGACATCCTTGCCAATGGCATAGCAAGCATACAGCTGGTTGGAAACGTCACCGTGATCGCGGCGGGTCATACCCTCGCCAATGGCTGACTTCATTAGACGGCTGAGCGAGGGCAGGACGTTGATCGGGGGGCTAATCTGCCTGTTGTGCAGCTGACGATCGACGTAGATCTGACCCTCCGTAATGTAGCCCGTAAGATCAGGAATAGGATGGGTAATGTCATCGTTGGGCATGGTAAGAATGGGGATCTGGGTGATGGAGCCGTTACGGCCCTCGACACGACCAGCGCGCTACAGCACCCATGGAAGCACAAAGACGAGCAGGAGACGGTGGAGAATGAGGAGAACGAGCGCACTTTCCAAGACAATACGAGGCACGGCAGATGCCATGCAAAGTGAAGGTTCTGTTGTTATTGTTGCCAGGGCATGAACCAACCTCGTAGATGGTGGCCAAGTTGGTGTACATGTAACCTGGGAAACCACGGCGACCGGGCACTTCCTCACGGGCGGCAGAGACCTCACGCAGGGCCTCGGCGTAAGAGCTCATGTCCGTGAGGATAACGAGAACGTGCTTCTCGCACTGGTAGGCGTAGTACTCGGCAGTGGTAAGAGCCAGACGAGGGGTAATGATACGCTCAATGGTGGGATCGTTGGCCAAGTTGAGGAAGAGGGTCACACGCTCCATCGAGCCGTTCTCTTCGAAATCCTGCTTGAAGAAGCGGGCCGTTTCCATGTTGACACCCATGGCCGCGAAGACAATGGCAAAGTTGTCCTCGTGGTTGTCGCGAACCGCCTTGCCCTTGTGCTTAACGAGACCGGCCTGACGGCAAATCTGGGCAGCAATGTCGTTGTGGGGCAGACCGGCAGCCGAGAAAATGGGAATCTTCTGGCCACGGGCAATACTGTTCATTGTATCAATGGCGGAGATACCAGTCTGAATCATCTCCTCGGGGTAGATACGGCGGTAGGGGTTGATGGGCTGACCCTCAATGTCAAGGTAGTCATCAGCCATCACGCGAGGACCCTTGTCAATGGCCTTGCCAGAGCCGTCAAAGATGCGACCCAACATGTCCTCAGCCACGGGTGTGCGCAAAATGTCACCGCTGAACTCGCAGACGGTGTTGCGGGCATCAATGCCTGTCAAGGAAAAAGGGCGAGACAGCGTGAGAGGCGGAGGAAAAGCAAGAAAACGTTCAAGAGGCGCGCGGAACGCGCAGGTTGTCCGGGTTGAGAATCACAACACGAGACATGCGTACCCGAAGTGCCCTCAAAGACCTGGACGACGGCACGCTTGCCCTGAACTTCAAGGACCTGGCCCGAGCGGACGGTGCCATCGGCAAGACGGAGGTTCACAATCTCCGAGAACTTGGGGAACTGCGTACATTAAGCAAATGACGACCCCCAAAAGCCGGGATCAAGGTCACAGAACCAAGCAGGGGAAGCAAGATATTGCGGGTGAGGGCAGATGATGAGAAGCGTGGGTGAGATGTGAGGGTTAGCATGTAGGTCAGCATGTGGGGCCAACTGACCTTGACATTGTCAAGAATGACGAGGGGACCCGTCACGGCCGACACAGTGCGGTAAGCTGAAAGCAGCGAAACAAGAGCATACGCACATGTGTGAGCGGCGAAGAGATGCAAGGCCGAAAGAAGATGGAAAAAAAAGGGCAATCAACGGGCAACTATTCAAGAGTCTGTGCTGAACCGGCTGTGTTGAGCCGGCTCTGCCTCTTCCTCAAGTCTCGTATAACTCAGTGACTGTTCCCAAAAAAAAGAAAAAAAAGAAAAAGAAAACCAAACAAGGAACAGTGTTGGTTCCGGGGTCAACGTACTGGTGCGGGGCTGAGCCACATAGTCGCGGACGACAGCAGCGGCGTGCTCGTGCGCCGTCTTGATCTCATCGTAACCCATGGTGTCTGGTCCAAGCACAAACGGTCACGCCTGTGCCAACAAAGTCAAGAGGCCACAGGAGCCGAGCGAGCAAAAGTGTATTATGAGTAAGGAAGAGGACGAAAATTTGAATAGGCAGTGACTGCCGGACATTGTAAAGAAGAAGTGTGTGTTTAACGACGCGTGCGAAGCACCATGGGGTGCCATTACACAAACACGCGACACCTGCACAAAGCACGACAGCTCATGACTGTGTCCAGGTGGCGCGCGCCATGTGCAAGTGACACCGCAAATGGCAGTGGGATCTCGTGACCACAATTGAAACGACAGCGGGGCGGATGCAATGCTTGCACCATGATTGGCTGCCAGAGGTCCAGGAGCAGGAGTAGCAGAGCCACATCCAGGGAGAGAGAGAGAGAGCGCACGAGCGCCAGAGCGCCAGAGCGCGAGAGAGCACGCATGACTCACCAGCTGGGCAGAGAAGAAAATCACACGCGACTCGCTCTCTGAGAGAGAGAGAGTTGAGAGAGAGAGAGAGAGAGAGACAGAGTAGAGCGAGAGTAGAGAGAGTAGAGATAGAGATAGAGAGAGAGAGTAGAGCTAGTAGAGAGAAAAGAGTAGAGACGAGAGAGACATTCATAGGTGTGGGGGGAGTGATATAGAGGCGGGGGACTTGTTCTCCAAAAAGAGTGAGTTGGCGTGTGTGTGTGGTTTGCAGCTGCAGGTGTGCTTGTGGAGGTGTGTGTGTGTGTGTGTGTGCGGCATTGCTGACACTCTGGAGATGGAGGAGAACAAAAGGAAACAAAAGCCTTTGAGACTCGTGACAGACACCGTCTGGTGGGTGTGCTTTTGTGAATGACTGGAAGGACTTAAAATCCGTGTAAAATAATTCAGATTAAGGAAAGGCGCGCAGCTGGTTTGTGGCCGAGACACTGACGTTGGAAGCTGAACGCGAACCCAGTGATCATGATGTAATTTTCTTTTCTTTCACTGTTTTCGCGTCTTGCATATTGTGCATTGTCAACGTGTTGATGAACTGCCCCCTCCCCCAGAATAAGGACTGTCAGAGTTATCCCCAAACCCTGAAGTTTCCAAAGCTCACCTCGCCCCAGACCCGCTCATGGACAAAAATGAAAAAGTTCATGCCATGCAGACCCTCTTGGAGGTCTTCGATCAGTGTGTGTGTGTGTGTGTGTGAGGGGGGGCAGCACTGCCGTTGCGTGTAAAATGGGTGTGATCATCTCTGGGCTGGACTGATGCATCAGTAAGAACGAGCTTTCTCACTTACGGGGCAGGTGGCTGGTTCCGCGGTTCCGCACTCGTGGATAATAGTGTAGAGTGGCGGCATGCCACGTGCGCGCCGGCTTCTTGAGAGCCAGACAAAAAGGAAAAATAAAAATAAGAGACGCTGTATCGCAAAAAGACCGTGCCTCGAAAAAACGAAAACCGAAAATGGAGGTGCCCAATCATTCAGGAGACCCGGTGCCGAGCAAAGTGTTCCGAACAACCGCAAACACCCAACCCCCCAACGGTCAACAACCAAGCAGGCGCTGAGCCACACCTACACGATCGCTCCATATAGTGTTGTAACGATGAATCGTCACACCCATGGACCACATACGGTCACTCGCTTCGTCCGCTCCCGGTTCCTCACCCCAAGCCCCAACCTCCGCCAATGTGGGATAAGTGTAGCACAAGTCACACAAGTGGATCCGAAATATGAAATTCGAGGGACCCCGCAAGCGCGTCGTTTTCACGAGGTTGGGGAGCCAGGAATAACACGACTGCGCTCCTCAACGCAACACTTGTCTCATCTGCGTCTTCAACACCCATCACATCCTCCGTTCATCGCATCGCATCGCATGCCCCGCTCTAAAAGTCAAAACTTTTGAGTCCGGACCGACCGAGGGCTGGTGGGGTGGTTGTCGACCTGGGTCATGTTCCTTCTGCTTTTTTTTTTTTTTTTTTTTTTTTTTTCCTCCTGCCAAACGATCCGATCCGATCCTCCTTCCGAATGGACCCAAAGAGGTTTTGTCCCTGTCGCTACCCCCTGTTGTAAACTCTATCACGACTGGAAGCACGAGCAGCACGAGAGACAGAGAAAGAGCGAGAGACAGAAAGAAGAGAGAGAGAGAGAGCGAGAGAGAGAGCGAGCGAGAGAGAGAGAGAGAACAAAAGGAGAACTAAAGAAAGGAGAACAAAAGAACAAACTCTCCCTTTCTTACATGTTGCGTTGTTCACCACTACTACCACTACCACTACCATCACACACACACAGACACACTACATGACGATGACCACCACCTGCTGGCCTTGGTGACGGGCAGCAACTGCAGCGGTAACGATAAACGGCGTTGCTGAACAGTTTTTTTTATTTTTTCATTTTTTTGACCTCAAAGGGGGGTTTTTCTTTTTTCGCCTGTGTCTGTGTGTGTGTGCGGGGACAAGGGTCCCTCCTGAAGCGCGCGCACGCTCAGTTGGCGTGTGCACACACACCTCTCTGGTTTGCGTATCGCGCCCTTGGCCTTCTCCTTGACGAAAAGGGCAGCGACACCCCTTCTTCCCCTCTCTCTCCCTCTCTTTTTCTCCCCAACACCATCGCGCACTCGCGAAACTCCTTTTTTTTCCCGCTGCCTTCTGCCTTTTTTACCTTGGCCTTTCAACGGCAACAGGCGGGGGGCCGGATCGACGTCGGTCATCGACGCCCCGACCTCCTGCCTCTTTTTTTGAGGCCCTTTGACCAAAAAACAAAAAAAGAGAGAGAATCTTTGCTCTACTTTCTCTTTTCTTGTCACATTCCCTGTGCCTTGCCAAGCTGGTCTCGGGGCTGTTGACCCCCCTTCCACAAGCCCTCTTGTGGGAGCGGCCAGTATCATGGCGCTACTCGATCGGTCTCGGCATCGCCTCGTGTCCCGGCTACTTTTGACCCTCGCGCTGTACGTTTCTTGCTTGCCTCCGACCGGCCTTGCCCTGCGCCCCTTCCCCAGCGGTTTTTTGGCTTTCGGAGGGGGGTTTTTTTTTTTGAAACATTGTCAAGTCGCTTCTCCGAATTCACCAACTCACGCACGCTTTTCCCTGCTCCCCTCCTTTCTTTCGACGCAGAATTTTGGCATGGATGCCTTCTGCGCGAGCTGCTGTGACACTGAGTGTTCTGTCCTCCGTTGAATTTGATCTTTCTACGTCGTACCCTGCCTCGGTGACTCCAGACGCCTCACTCTTCGACGATGGCTCAACTGGTAACAATCCTCTGACCTATACGCTCAGCCCAGCCAATTATGACTGCTCCCACATTGGTGATAACACGGCTACCATCACCGTCAGTGACAACGAGAGCTCAGAATCACAATCGGTCACCGTTCGCATCGTTGACTCAACCAATCCCGTCATCTCGTGCGTGGCTGGACCCGTCGCCGTCGCGCTCGACAGTCAAACCAGCACCTTGGCCCTGTCTGCCGCCTCCTTTCTGGCAGCCACCGCCACTGATAACTGTCAGACCGACGCCGAGCTCATTCTGCTCGTCAATCCCTCAACTGCCGATTGTGGGGACCATGGTACAACCCAAAGCGTCACGATCATTGCCTCGGATAGCTCTCAAAACACCGCCTTTTGTACCTCCTCAGTCACCGTGACGGATGACACTAACCCCACCGTCGAAATGGAGGCCGATATGGAGCTTACCATCCCCAGCGGTGGTACCAGGACCATCACTCAAAGCACCGTGGTGGCCCGCTACGATGACAACTGTCAAGTTGACCCCCCCACCCTGGACCGCACCTCTTTCACCTGCTCGGATGTCGCCTCCACCATCACCGTGACCGCCACCGCCACTGATGTGAACGGTCTCTCGGGATCGGGTACCATTGACCTCACCATTGTTGATAACATTAGTCCCACCCTCTCCGTCTTATCCTCGGCCACCCTCAATCTTGACGCCAACGGTGAAGTCACCATTCTCGAAGCCGACGTGGTCAGCGGCACCCCATCGGACAATTGCGGCGCTCCCACAATTTCGATTGTTCCGGATCAGCTCACCTGCGCCGATCTTGCGTCAGCCACCCTTGTCACTGTCACCGCCACCGACGGCTATAATCCCGTCAGCCGCATCCTCCCCGTCTCCGTGGTCGACAGCTTGCCGCCAACCATCACCTTTGTCTCCTCCCCCTCGGTCACCCTCGGCGCCTCGGGCGTCTACTCTATTACCCAAGCTGACATCATCACCAACGTTGTTGACAACTGCGGCACCTCCAACATTACCGTCACCTCCACCGATGCCACCTGTGTAGACGCCGATTCAACCGTGGCCGTCTCCTGGGCCTCAGTCGATGCTGGCGGCAACGAAGATAGCGGCGTTGTCAACGTTGCCGTCGTCGACGGCGAAGACCCCACCCTCACCGTCGCCAGCACCTTCACCGTTAATCTCGATGCCGCTGGCCAAGCCTCCATCCTGGCCACTGACACTTACACTGCCGCTGATGACCAGTGCCCCGGCTTCGTCGTCAGCGTGGATCAGCTCACCTTTGATTGCACGGACGTCGGTCCCGTGACCCTCACCGTCACCGTCACTGACGCTTCCTCACGTACCGTTTCTGATACGCTAAGCATCACCGTCATCGACAATGTACCCCCCGTCATTGTCGCCGATAGCACCTTCACCGCCGTGCTTGACAGCAACGGCGAAGTCGAGGTCACCTTGGCCGATGTCTACACGTCGGCCTCAGATGCCTGTGCCGGCACCACCCCCAGCATCGTTGGTGGTGCCTTCACCTGTGCTGACATTGGCGAGCAGACAACCACCGTTTCCGTGGCCGATGGTTATGGCAACACTGCAACTCATGATGTGACCGTCACCGTGGTTGACTCAACTGACCCCACCGCTTCGAGCGTCGCCACCCTCGACGTTGTTCTGGACGCCAATGGCGAGGCTTCAATCGATGGCCCTGCCATTAGCCTTGCTGCCGCAGATAACTGCGGCAGTGTAAGTTCGGCGTTTTCCATCGACTCATTCACTTGCGCCCACATTGGCACGCCACAAGCTGTCGTTGTGACAGTGAC